CGATCCATTTTGGATCTCACGCCGGAGAGTTTTGGGGTGTCTTAGCTCAAAGTCCTCCACCGCCCAATAGGGGACTCAAATATTTCTTTTAATAGGCATTTACCTTAGGTAATATTGTGCTTACTTTGGACTGTACCCTCCTCATCCTCTGGGGGAGGTAGAGAGGGGCAAAGCGCATGGCCTCTATTTTTCAGGGGGGGTTCGGTACTGGTTGGGGGTCGGGTCTATGTGTACGGCATTCTCGAATTGTCCCCTCACTCAAGCTACTGTGGGTTTTTAGCATACAGCTATCCTTACTCAACGCGTCTATGTGTCCGGCGATCTCCAATACAAATCAATCTGTGAGGTTCCGGTATGCAGCTTTCTTAACTCAAAGCGTCTATGTGTCTGGCACTTTCCAACATCACTCAACTCGTGAGGTTTCAGTATGTAGCTATCCCCACTCAGCGCGTCTATGTGTCTGGCAAACTCAAAAACCAATCCATCTGTGAGGTTTCAGTATGCAGCTATCCTCACTCAACACGTCTTCGTGTCCGGCAATCTCTATCACAAATCGCCTGTAAGGTTCAGTATGTGTCTTTCCTCACTCAATGCATCTGTGTCCGGCACTCCAACATCACTCAACCCGTGTGGTTTCAGTATGCAGCTATCCCCACTCATCCCGTCCATGTGTCTGGCAATCTCAAACCTCACTCAACCCTTACAGCTATAATCACTCAACACGTCAATGTGTCCGGCAATCTCTTACATTGCTGAACCTGTGAGGTTTTCGTAAACAGCTATCCTCACTCCACTCGTCCATGCGTCACGCGTCTTTGGTAGCGCATACTACGGGGGCTATATTTGGGGTGGAGTGTTTGACAGCGCTTTGGCAACAGCGTCAACCCACTTTTGTCTAGGGGGGGCGGGGGGAAAGCTTGGTCGGCGAGGAAGGGGAGGGGGGTCGAAGAACAACTACTACACCGGAACATTTCGAGGAGATGTGTTGTCACTCGAAAGCGAGCGAGAATTCTCGCATTGGATTGCTTGCAGATTGTTCCGAACTATAGATGTACCCAGAACGACTTTGTATGAGAACGAATGCTACCTAGGTATCACATATATCTGCATATTAACTGACAACGAAGAAAAGAGCGAGGAATAGATCTTTTTGCTTTTGCGCTGAAGCCCGGGCGCGTTGTGTGGCATATCGCGTCCCCGAAAGCGCCGACTAAAAAACACCCAAAACACGACGAACCCTTGCTTGTCGCTATACACTGGATGATGAAGAACACTCATACTTGCCAGCTTTCCTTGGGTAAACTAACTCTCCCTCCGGACGTCTCGCTCTCAGGTGCAAGGACGCCAACCAGCACGATCCAGCCAAGGCCACCGTGCGTGCGGTGAGCTTTCATCCGACGGGAGAGCTGCTGCTAGCGGGCGGCTTCGACAAGACCCTCCGGCTCTTCCAGGTGCGGCGCGGCGCGTTTTTGCTGCTCTCCCGCGAAAACGTAGGAAAGAGTTTGTTGTTGGCCTTTCCCTCGCGTGCCCGGCTGCGGCGCGTTTTTGCTGCTCTTGCGCGAACGTGGGGAAGAGGTTGTCGTCGCCTTTTGAGCTCCAATCGTGGTGGCGAAGCTCTTTTTTTTTCCACCATGGATTTTTCAATTTTGTTTTTGGGTAGTTTCGTGCTCCGCACCATCCGGCACCACCGGCCCTGCTGCGACGTTGTTTTTGCGAATGCTGATGTTTGCCGTGCCGTGCTACACATCGCTCTGTTGGCACCCCGTTTGGTGCGCCTGTTTCACTCTTTTGTTTTCCCCCTTCATGTGTCTCTTTCCCTGCCCTCCCTCGTCTTCATTCTTTCTTTCGTTGACGCGCGTCGGCGGGATGTTTCCCTCACGATGCTGCTGTCTTGTACCTCTGTCTGCACGGAAATACATTGGTTCTCGCATTGCATTGCATGGCATTGCCTTGCCTTGCCTTGCATTGCGTTGCGCTGCGTTGCACTCCAATGTATAGGTGGACGGCGTGCGCAACGCGAAGGTTCACAGCATTTTTTTCGAGGACCTCCCGATCACAAGCGCCGCCTTCACCGGGGCAGAGCAGGTTAGCCCCGCAGTCGCCATGCGTCCCTCATCGCTTCTGATGCATCGTCTTGTTTTTCGCGTTGGTCTAGTTGAGGCACGCCGGGGTAAGGGAGCTTTACCCACCGCATTCCTTCTGCGCGCATGCATGCCTGCTACTTTAAAGAAAATAGCAGCTTGTTGTAGAGGCTGCGTGTAGTCAAAGTGGCCGCCTTTGCCTGCCCGTGTGCTGCCTTGCACGCGGCCGTCAGTGCCCCCCGTGTTGACGTCGCCATGTGTGAGTGCGATGAAAACACGACGAAAAGCATCGCGCAGACCGTCGCGGTTGCTCGCTACGGCTTAAACCAAAGGCGTGGTCCGGAAAAGGGAAGGACCTGCCGTGCACCCTACTGCAAAGTCGGACCGCCGCTTGCCACCCTTGTTTCCATCGTCGTATACGCCAAAAGCAAGAGCACGCCTTGTATGTCTTTTGCTGAAAGAGGATGGGGGGAAGGCGTGTTGGTTCCCTTCTTACAGGCAACTTGTCGCGGACTCTTGAGGTCCACGGAGTTTTTTTTCATCACGCGGTTAAGACGGGGTTATCACGCCGTAACTTTGCTTCATGCCTACCCCCCCCACGCTTGGTTCGATGCTTGCCACACCATGACGTGCTTCATGCCTGTACCTCCTGATGGTGGGCTTGGTGCTTGCCACACCATGGCGCTTGATGTCCACCTCCTGGTGGACGGTTTTGACGCTTGCTTCAGGCAATCGTCACGGGCAGGCGGTCCTTCTTCTACTCGTACGACGTGGCCACCGGCAAGGTGCTGAAAATTCCCAGAGTTTTCTCCTCCGGAAGGACGGAGAAGCACCTGGAGACCTTCGCAGCGTCTCCCGACGGACAGTGGCTGGCTTTCATCGGAAGCGGAGGTGGGCGAGGCGACTGCTGCTGCCCTTGGGGGATTTGGTTCGCTTTCAGTCGGTGTCCAGAGACCGAGCCGTCACGGGAGCGGTTCAACCAAATGCTGTGACGTGGACTCCGTTTTTTTCGTTTATGCTGATGTGGAGGGAAGAATTGCGAGTCTCGTTGAGTTGTGATCCGATTCGCGTTGAATTTGATTTCCACGTTATTTATCATCCACGTGTTTGCTGTTGTACTGTTTCACCCCACCGTGGTTACCCCTCTCTATTTTTGTTGATTTTTTTACGTGTTTTACGGCGCTTGGGGTCAGGCGTGTGTGTAGGAGGGTTTAAGGACGGACTGCCAGAGGCAAGGGCGGGTGTAGGCTTGCTCATCGGTTGCTGTTGGTTGTTCCCAGTACCACTGTCGTCTGCATCGTGTAGTCAGAGTTGTCCCGCTATCGTAGATTTGTGCCGTTAGCCTTCGCTGCTGCTGCCAACCGGCACCACCATCGTCAATATGACTATCGCTAGGGAGATACACTGCTGTCGTAGCGCACTACCCACCCCTGCATCGCTGCTGTGTGTGTGCCTTTCATTTTCTCTTTCACGGTGCCGTTGGAGATGATGGCGTGCACGGCCGAACAAGCAGGAAGCGGTCGCCACTTTGCATCCCCCGCTTCCCCTTGTCACGCACTAGCCGCTTCGCACGCCCACATATTCCACACTTTACCAATAATTTAATGAACACCCCAATACCCAGTAAATGTATCAATCATGGTATTTATATTCACTTTGTTCGTGTTGTTGTCACCGATATGTTTCGCCGTGCCTGTCGCCGCCGCGTTGACGTGTCGCGCGCGGGTGCCGCCCTCTGCCTGACCGTTCGTTGTGTCCTTCCCGCACCAAAAAAAGGGTACGTTCTCCTGCTGTCGAGCAAGACCAAGCAGTGGGCGGCAGACTTCAAGCTCAACTCTACCGCCACGGCGGTGACCTTCTCCCCGGACAGCCGGTACGTGCTGGCCTCGGGCGCGGACGCGGACGTTTACAAGTTCGACATCCGCTCCCGGCGGTGCGTCCTCCGCTTCTTCAACGAAGTGAGTGCCTGCCGTCTTTTCTCAAGTGCCTGCCTTCCTTTCAAGTACCCGCCTTGTTTCTCAAGTGCCTGACCTTTTTTTCTCCAAGTGCCCGCCTTGTTTTCTCTACGGCCTGCCTTGTTTTGCTCTAGGGCCTTGCCTTTCCTACTCAAGGCGGAGAATACGACAATGATGAACTAACCCCCACACTCGTGATGTTCTGGAACTACGGCGCACATGCCACGCAATGGTGTACGCCTGTGCCCAGCGCGCAGGGTGTGCCGCCGCCCCGCCACCTTTGGAACACGGCGGTGACTTGTTCCGCGTTTGTCGTTGGGTTTATCTCTCGCATGTAGACGAAACGACCTGACCGGCAGCCGCCAGCGGCAAGAGGTTGTGTTCTCCCATTGGCGTTCGTGTTAATATTCTTGTTTTTTTTCCGTGGAAAATGGTGATCCAAACACGGTTTCAAGGTAGGTTTTGCCGTTGCCGCTCCCTTGCTGCTGCCGCAGTTGCCGTGCCCCTATGCTTTCTTGGTCCTGTACCGCTTGATGAAGCTGTTCGCGACGGCCCCTTGCTTTCGCGAAGGGGGGCGGCTCGACCATTTTTGTGGTGGCTTCCCTCCCTCTCTGCCGTCTCGATTCAAAGCTGACAGAGTCGAGAGGCACAGATTGATGTGTATGCCCTTTGCTCTGATCGATCGTTCCCTTCCTTTTGGCGGCCTTATTACTCCGGCTTTGGGACCGGCATGTTTCAGAGGCGACCGGCCGGTGCGGAATCCTTCTTGGTTACTATTCATTCCTTGACGAGGAGTGTCGACATCTTTAGGAGAGGCCGTACGAGCAGGTGTACCCACGGGTTATCATCTGTTGGGACCCCTGCAGGGGGGGGGGGG